CAGGGTATACTACTATACACGCAAGTATGTTGCCCCACATATATATGATATCAAATATACATTAAAAGTATAAAAAATTAATTTTGATTTTCCTATATGAAAGAGAAAATAATTATAATTAAACACAAATGAAATCACCTATCCCTTACTTGTGTCACCCAATTATAAAAATATTACTTAAAAGATAGAAATGAAAATAGGATATTATTTGTTCATAGTGTATCATTTTTAATAATGGAACAGGAAGAAATTAATCATGCGATTACGTTTCTAATTTAATATTGCATGACACACTATTTATTAGTGGGTTTATTGTACTAGCTAACATAATCAAATTCATTGAATTAATTTCTAACACAGGATTGGTAGGATGATAGTCCACAATAAGTTGTGTGACATCAATAGAAGGGATGGATACACAGTAGAAGATGAGGGAGTAAAAGATGAAAACAAGGGTTCAAAAATATTAGGAGTGTTTTTATATGGAAAATTAGTTTCATTGAACCACACGTCACTAGAAATATAAATCTTTTCCGCTTGGGTGAAGACACACAAACCATTCTTACTAAGGAGCATCCAAGAAATAAGCATGCAAGGGATTTAAAATCAAATTTGTGTTTAGTGTATGAACTGAGTAAAGGATAACAGGTGCATCCAAAAACCCGAAACATATCATAATTCGTTGCATGCTTATAAAGAACAGTATGAGGTGTTTGATAATGGAAAGTTGAAGGGGAAGATTATTAATAATGAACACAACTGTTTGAAAAGCATAACTCCAATATTTAAGAGGCAAAACAGCATGAGCTAAGAGACTTAAGCTAGTTTCTAATATATGTCGATGCATGTGTTCTATATTACCATTTTGTTAATGTGCGTGTGCACAGATATAACGATGGTGTATGTCAGCAGAAGCAAGGAAAGTGTCAAAATACATAAATTCTCAAGCATTGTCACTTTGAAGAGCCTTTATTTTATAGCCAAATTGATTTTCAACTAAAAGTTTGAACCTACGAAATATATCAAGAGCTTGGGATTTAGCATGCAAGAAATAAATCCAAGTGTATTTTGAAAAAAATCTACAAAAGATAGGTAATAACACCATTCAAAGGGCAAACATGGGAAGGACCCCAAATATCCATATAGTCTAATTCAAGAGGATGCATATACGTGGTTTGGGAATCAACATATGGTATTTGATGAATTTTTTATCGACCACAAGAATCACAGAAATCAAGGTCAGCTTTAGCATCTATATTACATTAACTAAGAATTCTTTTAATTGTTTGAACAGAGGCATGACCCATACGAGCAGGCCATAAGGAAAAAAAGTACACGGATCAGCAGTCAGAGTGGAGTGATGAATCGTGGGAGATTTCGAGAGCTCTTGCTCTGCAACGTGGGAAAAATATACATTCCTTCTTTAGGAATGCCTTTGAGCAGGATCTCCTTGGTTTCATGATTTTTAACAAAACAAAAGTTAGGGAAGAATTCAAAATACACATGATTACCTCGTGCAAACTGAGATCACTTAAAAGAATTTTTATAACTGTTGGAACATATAAAAATTGTTTAAGACAAAACTGGATGAAGAAGAAGAGGTAGAGAGAGTGGTGGAACCGATTTGAGTGATTTTCAGACCTGCACAGTTACCTAACTTGATATTTTCAGAGCCAGTATATGAGGATTTTGAATTGAAGTTACTGGAGTCATTGTGACATGGTGTGAAGCCCACTATCGGGGTACCACAGGGGATCAGACAAAGAAGAAATATTAGATAGTTGATCATAAATCTCAATACTAGAAGACGAAACCTGGAAGTTGTGAAGCTGAAAATCTTGATTGAATCTTTGCCAGCATTCAAGAGCATGATGACCGAACTTGGAACAAATTTGGCACTGAACTCTATTGTTGGTTTGAGGAGTAGATTGTTGATGAGGCCAAGATTGACTAGGCTGCTGGCGTTGGTTAGAAGAAGTAGCACAACGAGTGTAGAAAGAACGTGAGCAAGCACAACCAAATCAGTATTCAGATTTTTCTCAAGGCGCTCTTCTTGAGAAAATGCTTTATTTTCTTCAACAGTGTAGGGTAAAGAATAGAGGTAACGAAGCCGTCGTAATTGTCAAGAAGACCGCAAAAATATACTCAATGTGGTCATCATCGGTGATAGGTTACCCCATAGCAGCGAGCGCATACACGGATTTCTTGATTTCAAGAACATAGGCAGAGACAGTTTTATCCTTCTTGGTGCTTTTGAGTTGACTCTTGATCTTTTTTATGCGAGCACGAGATTCACTTGCATAATGCACAGTAAGAGTTTTCCAAATATTATAAGATGCTTTTAAACCTATAATTTTGGTGAGCATTGTATCGGACATGGAGAACAGCAACCATGCTACAATGAGTTGATCCTGTTAAAGGTGATCGAGGTCAAGGGGGTTGACGGCATCCGATGCAGCTGCATCAGGAGTGACATATTTGGGAGGGTATGAAGAACTCTCAAGAAATTTCATAAGATGCAGACCAGTAACGGTGGCTAAAGCTTGGTGTTTCCAAACCAAGAAGTTATCTTCATTTAATTTGAGACTAATGGGAGAAGTGAATGTATGCGGTGTTGGCATAGTAGAAAGAGGAGGCAGCGTGAAGGGAAACACCAGAATCTGCAGAAGTCATATAGAAGAAAAAAAATCAACTCTTGATACCATGTAAGGTTTCAGAGCAAGAGATGGAGAGATGGAAAGCATGAAAGAAAAGCTGATAATATCATGTATATCGTAAACAAAGGAGTCTGATACATATACAGAAGACAGAGGAAAACTGACTGATGCAGACACACGTAATGTGTGAGTTTTAAGAGTTTTAAGGCTGTTAGACGTGATAGTTTACGCTCGTGCAAATATGTACACTCGTAGAGTTTTAAGAGTTTACTTTAGATAAATAAATATTAAAATATTTATAAAAATTATAATAATTTATTATTATATGATATTTATTATAAATGATTTTTATATTTTTCTTATTGAAGTATTATTATTAGTTCATCATATTATACATTTTTAAATACTTTTTTATATTTTCCTAATTATTATTTTTATAATAACTTTAATTAATTATATATAACATTTAATATGATAAAAAAAATGTGTCTTAACTTTCATATCTAAACTATTTTTGAAGCCTAAATAGGTCCAAATGGTTAACAAAAACTTTAACATCAAATATAATATTTCAATGCTATTTGAAGGTAATATAAGAAGATCTCTTGAACAAACCATAATCGGACGAGAACGACAATAAGTGATGACAATCTTGGACAATTACAAGAGACAACCAAATGGCACAGATAGTGAGAACGACAATAAGTGATGACAATCTTGGACAACTACAAGGGACAACCAAATGGCACAGATAGTGAGTAAAGTGACACCAAGAAGGCGTTGCCTTACATGACTTCATCCTGTACCTCCAACTTTATTAAAAATTTCAACTTTACTCATCTGCATCTTTGACATTTGGAAGAAGAATCTTTGACCAAAAAGATTCTTTGTGCATTTTAACCTTACACTCCAGCCTTACTTTCTCCCTCACGTCTTCTCCCTT